TAATCCATTCATTTCATCACTTAAAATATCTGTATCGTCTGCATATCTGATTGTATTTATCAGAATTCCATTAACTTTCACGCCCCATTCCAAATTATGCAGCGCTTCTTTAAATATTCTATCTGAATAAAAATTAAATAACAGTGGGGATAGTATACAACCCTGTCTGACACCTCTTTGTATTTTACATATTTCGGTTGATTTTCCGTTTATGCAAGCTGTCGCTGTTTGACGCCAGTATAACTTTTCTATGAATCATATGTCTTGACTATCAACTCCTTTATCTTTTAATATTGTAATTATTTTGTGATGCTGTACTCGATCAAAGGCCTTTTCATAGTCAATAAATACAGCAAAGACGTCTTTCCTTTGATCTCGACATTTCTGCAGTAATACATTTAGTGCAAAGAGGGCGTCCCGAGTTTCCAGTCCATTTCTGAAGCCAAATTGTGTTTCATCCTGATCTTTTTCACATTTATCTCTGATTCTACTGTGGATGATGCGTAGAAATATTTTCAAAGTGTGGCTTATAAGGCTTATCATTCTATAATCGCTACAGTTTTTCGGACGTTGTTTTTTTGGTAGTGTTATGAATTCGGACTTTAACCAATCTTCAGGGATATCACCAGTCGAATAAACATCATTGAAAAGTTTGATCAGTATTCCAATGTTCTCCTCATTTATAAGCTTTAACAGCTCTGTCGGTATGTTATCAGGGTCAACGGCTTTGTTGTTCTTTGCTAACTTTATAGCATGCAGTATTTCTGATTTTAGTATTTCTGGTCCTTCACCTTCAACTAAAGTCTCCGGTTCTTCGGGTCTATCATCATTATACAGTTCACTTATATAATTATACCAGGTTGTTCGAATTTCATGTTCGTCTATTATCATTTTTCCCGACGAATCGGTTATAGTATGTGGAGTTTTCTTATGATAAAGACCAGCTACTTCTCTAACTTTTTTAAACATATTAAACGTATCATGTTTTTCATTCAACTTTTCTAATTCCTTGCATTTATCCTCCATCCATTTTTCGTTAGCCACCTTTATTTTTTGTTTAATTAGTTTCTGTTTTCCTTATTATCTGTCTTGTTACCTTTCAGTTTCCTTCTCTGCTCCATTAATTCCAGGATTTCATCAGTCATCCATTGTTGTTTTTTGTGAATGTGTAACGTTGTTGAATATTTTTCTATTACTTTCAAGGTAAGATCTTTAAATGTGTTCCATATTTCTGTGTTGTTTTCATTTATTGATTTCTTTAGCTCATTGTTTAAGTCATTTTCTATTAACGTTTTGTTGGATATTGAGATATTTAATTTTGGAGTTTTGGGGCTTTCTTGGACTTTTTTGAGCTTCACTTTGATGTCAGTTATTACAGGGTTATGGTCTGAACCGATATCTGCACCAGGATATGTCGTTACTCTGGTGACGCCATTCTTAAATCTCTTGTTTACCAAAATATAGTCTATCTGATTTCTAATCATATGTAGTGAATTATCTCCTGGTCCCCTCCATGTGTATAACCTTCTTTTGTGTAATTTGAACCATGTATTTGCGATTATCATGTCATGTTCTTGACAAAACTGGTATAATCTATCGCCTCTTTCATTGCTCTCCTCTAGTCCATATTCACCTGCCAGGTCAGATCTTCGGCCTTGGCCAATTTTTGCGTTAAAATCTCCAGTTTTAACATACACCGGCAAATCAAAGGGACAGCTGGTATATACAAGAAGGGAATCGGAAATATTATGGATAAACATAACAAGATAATAACGGAATGTACAGGTAAACTAAACAGATGGGAAGAATACACAAAAGAGCTATTTCAAGACGATGAGAAAATTGAGGTCATTGAACCAAGAGGAAGAAATGGGCCACCAATCACCAAAGACGAAAACGAGAAAGCACTAAAACGTATAAAAATGAGAACGCCATGGGACCAGATAAAATACCTACAGAAATCTTAAGAATATTAACAAAAAATCATATGGGCACACTAATAGAATTATTTAATGACATTTATTATACGGGACAGACTCCGAACGAATGGTTAATATCAATATTCATTCCAATACTCAAAAAATCAAACGCAATTAAGTGTGATGAGCAAAGGACAATTAGCTTATGAACCATATTCTAAAAGTGTTCTTACGAGTGATACACGAACGTATCTATAAAAAACTAGATGATAGAATAGCTGAAAACCAATTAGGATTTAGAATAGGTTTTGGCACCAGAGAAATATTATTTACTGTACAAACACTAGTCGAACGATGTCGAGATGTCAATTGCGACGTATTCATATTTCTGGTCGGCTTCGAGAAAGCTTTCGACAATACTGCATAACACAGAATTAGATGACGAAGACATCTAATTGGCCAATTGGCCAATCTATACCAATATCAGAAAGAAATAATATGAATAGACCAACAAAAATCAAAGAAATACCTATAAGCCGTGGAGTAAGACAAGGATATGTGCTTTCCCCTTTACTTTTTAATATGTATTTAGAAGAATTATTTAAAGAGGCATTATAAAACGTAAATGAAGGCATATTAATTAGGCAATCAGAATAGCAATAATGCGAAAGTTATGGAATGGCACTGTTTCGCAACTGTATATAAATATTTGTAAATGTATTAACAGACTTTTTGATAATTTCTATTCTTCTCGTATATTTTAAACCAGATTTGCCTGTAAGTGACACAGCGGTTTTAGGCCCGGCGCAAATTGAGCACAGCCCACGCACAGCCCACGCACATCCCACGCGCAGCCCAAGCGTGGGTTATTTTGTAAAACGTGGTTTATTTTGTAAGGGCTTAAAGATTGCAAGGCGGGCCATCTGCGAAATATCACCATAGGGGATGCATTTCAAACACAAAAAGAGTCGAGCAGTATCTCTCAAACGATGAACATATGTATGTGAAGACGAAGAGTACCTGATTTCGCATCGGCCAAGAAAGACGCTAATGTGCATCACAAACTTTGATAGTTGAAGTGTCGCTAAAGACATAATTTGTGATAGCGTTGGGGCTATCTTTTTCATGGGGTAAGGAACAATACACCATATTAATTTGTTGCTGCATATATCAAGTACGTGCCCTTGGTATATTTATTTGATTTTTGGAACTTCATCACATTTGTGCCGCGATCGAGATTGAACATTGTCAATTGGACATTTGGCATTTGTTTCGGTTTATTTACTGTATTGTATATTTTTTTTGTATTTTGTTAATACCGATTTTATTTCTTGTATGTTTTGTATTAATAATTGTACTTATTAATTATTTGTATGCACCGCATTCTTAATTTGTTTTTACAACGTTAAAATATTATATCCTTATTTAGGTTGATTTTTTTGTAAGATTATTAATTTATCTTTTATCTTTTTATGTAAAGTATGCGGAAGACAGCGCAAGAGGATGTGGTACAACCATGTAAGACAAATGGATGATAATAGACTCCCAAAAATTGCCCTAGAAAACAATCCGCCTGGTTCAAGACCCCCCGGAAGACCACCTAAAAGATGGAGGGACAGTTGGCAATCTACCTCCCAAGAAATTAACCAGAGGCAGCTTCAGAATTAAACAGATCGAAAGATCTACAAAAAGTAGAAGAAGAAGAAGATGTAAAGTATGTTTGCGGCTATGGTAGGTTTTATCTTTTGTTTTGTCAGTGGTTTTTTATAGAATCGACATTTTTGTTGTAGTTTGTTTATGGTTGTCTTTTGGTATGTCTGTTGGTGTTTCTTAGTAGCTAATAGTTAAGTTTGTAATATATTTTTCTTCTTTAAGTAATATATTCTTCTTTAATTATAATGGTATATTTGGTTATGTCCATTTATGTTTTTAATTTTATCTGCTTGTTTAAATAGAGTTTTATACAGTCCACTGGCTTTGATTTCTTTTCTTTAGTTGAATATACATACCTAATTCGAAAGGGGGAAACCAGCGAGTTCTAGATTGAACAGAATATCTTCTCTCCCCTTCAGGATGATCCCAATTGTTATATTGAGGTCATCGTATGTGCAGAACGCAACAGGCACTGAATACAAATAAAACAAAAATCATGGTGGTAAGTAAGAACAAGATTGAGAAAGACAGTGTTTATGCTAAAGGAAAATTTTTTAGGCAGGGTGCACAGATATCAGTACTTAGGTTGCGAACTAAATGAAAAATGGGATAGAAGTACGGAAATAAAACGGCGTATTGAGATAGCTAGAAGTGCTTTTAATAAGATGAAAGCAATATTATGCAATGGAAAACTCAACATTGTAATTAGAACTAGAGTATTGAGATGCTACGTGTTCTCTGTCCTGTTGTATGGAGTTGACGCCTGGACAATTACAGAGGTGACAGAGAAAAGACTCATTAACTTTGAGATGTAGTGTTATCGAAGAATGTGCAAAATACCTTTCTTGGACCAACACATAACAAATGAGGAAACGCTACCAAGAACGAAAAAAGATAAAGAAATACTCAACACTATAAAGAAAAAAAAAATGAGCTACTTTGGTCACATACTAAGAAACGAGAAACACGAATTGATGCGGCTGGTCATACAAGGGAAGGTGAAAGGCAAAAGAGGACCGGGAAGAAGACTCACGTCCTGGTTGAATAATCTGAAACAATGGACCGGGAAAACGTCAATAGAACTTTCCAGATAGAGTCAAATGGGCCATGATGATCGCCAATGTCCTTAGGGATGGGGCACGTTAAGAAGAAGAAGAAGTAAACTAAATTTTTCTAATATAGAAATCTACCTTGATACCCACGACACGTACGATTTTATTTTCATATTTTTTTATTCGCTTGAGAAACCTTGTTATACAATTTTATAGTTTCAATAATGTGAAATGAGCTAAAAAATTTAAATTACTAGAATTTATAATTTTATTCACATTGCATGATTAACATTTTATATAATACTCTTACGGCCAAGCCTATTACAGCAAGGACCAACCCAGCTATTACCAATACCAAGAAATAATTGTATCTTACCTTGACTTTCTAATATCGCAGCCGTTGTTGTTCTCGTTAGGAATTTTCTGCGTGTTGGTCCAGTCGGTCTCGAGAATCTCGTCGAAGGAGGCGAAGAAATTGCTGCGGTGGAATTAGTTATTGGTGTTTTCGTAGTCGGCGATCTAGTCGTGAAAGGACTTCTTCTGTTAGTTCCTCTTAAAAAGTTTCTAAACGGAATCTATAAAATGGTATCAATAAATAATTTGGTGATTTTAAGTTAAATGTTATAGCATGAAGTGATATGAAATTAAAATTAAGTTTTAGTAAAATGTATGTAGAACATGGACATGTAGAGTGAGTAATTTTGTAGTATTTTTAAAAGAATAAAAGCGTATATGTTGTTTGTTTTATTTTCCCAATGTATTTTATGACATAGGTTGAAACAAAGCCAATAATGAGCAATGTAGTTAGACCAGGCGGTATTGGTTCTAAAAAATCATATATTATCCTATTTTTTTGCTTTAATGGCTTCGAAATACCATTAGAAATGTTAATTTCGATATAAGAATACTTCAAAAGGTAGACTAAATGTATAATTAAACAATTTGTGAAACAAATTAGAAAAATTTAAATTTTTTTCTGTTTTTCTTTGTTATATATCGGCAACTATGCATTTTAGAAAAAAATTGCGAAGACAACAAAGTTTTGCAATTAAATTTCCTACAAGATAAAATTAAATTAAAATGAAAAAAATAATTAATATTATAGCAAAACTAGCAAAAACCATTAAAAAAGGTCAAAAATCAATGTTTTTTTAACAATCTTTTTCAGATATTTAGAAGCCATATAGAACCTTCAAGATTTGCATATAAAATATTTTTAGTGTAAAAAACACAACACAAAAAAATTCAGCACAATTAATTAAGTAGTTTTCGCAAAATAAATTTGCAATCTATTTTTTTGGAAAAACAGCTTAATTAATTTTCAAAATTATGCAGAGCCAACAGAAAAGTTTTAAATAATTAATATTTTTTATATAAAAGATCTTTAAAGCTTTTGAATAAAATTCGAATTATTTTTAAAGGCTAGGGAATTTTTTAAACAACTGTATAATTTTTAAGCCAATAAACAAATAGAATAACTTCCACTAAAAGGTTGCGTGTTGCTTTTAAATCGAATTGAATTTTTAAATGATCATTTTTAATGATTTTTGCTAATTTTGCAACAATAATAATTATTTTTAAAGTTGAAATCAATTGTATCTTATCGGAAATTATCTTTAATATTTTTTTCTTATGTGCATAGCTGCTTAGATATAGTCACGAAAAGCAGAAAACATTGAATTTTTGAAATTTTTTTCAAAAATTGTATTCTGTTGATTTTTTAATTATTTGCTTTAATGTATGTATAAAATTAATTGTCGATCTCCTCGGTCTGAACCCGTTCTGGTAATCCCCTCTGTGGCTCAGTGGTAAGAGCGCCTACCTTTAAACCTAAAGGTCGTGAGTTCGAATCTCACCTGGGTAGAAATTTTCGTTTATTAAAAAAAATTAATAAATGAAAATAATTTCTATCCTTGTGTGATCGGTACTCACCGGAGGTACCGCAGACGTTCGGATACTATTAGCGTCTCTTAGCAAAGACAATGACGTCGACTTTGCTAAGTATCAAGACAATTACTCTACACACAAACACACACACACACACACACACACACACACACACACACACACACACACACTACATTAATAAACTTATCTTGATTGAGACTGGCTGAATACATCATCTGCGTATCTTAGATGGTTCAAGTATCTTCCGTTAATAGGGATTCCCTTATTTTCCCGATCTTCTTTTTTATAGATAAGTTTTATAACCTAATGTTCCAATCATCTGGTAGTGTGTTTTGTGTCTATATTTTGCTGCTATTTTATCTTCTTCTGATGCTTTTCAGTTTCTGAGGTTTTTAACTTCTTTTGTATTTCTTCTTCTGTGGAAATTTTTGTTTCAACGTTGTCTTGTTTAATTGGTCTTCTTCATCGCAGTGTGTTTCCTCAGTAGTCAATAGCATTTTTCGTAATATTCTTTCCATATTCTGCTGATCTGTTTATCTTCAAAGACGGTTTTCCTTTTTTGGTTTTTTTTAGTGCTGTTGTTTTAAAGTGGGGCGTATTTTTTGTTACTGTGCATTTTTTATTAAAATGTTTTATTTCATATTTTTTTCTGCCTTTTTCAAAATTACCTAGCTTTACATTTAAGTGTTTTTTTTTGTTATTGCTATGTTGCCTTTGTTGCTCGCTATTTTATAATCTTCATTGTTTTGATCTGATGGATTGTTGATCCATCTTTCGTTTATATTTACCAGTTGACTATAAGGTTGGGTTTATATTTTCATTCATCTGTTTATCAACGTGCTCATTTTTATTATTGCCAGAAAGTGATCCGTTTTCGCGATTGCCCCTCTGTAAAATCTCCTCACGAATAGATGTAAAAACCAACTAACAGAAAAGAATGGTCACACCTAAGGGAGTCTTGCATCCAAAGATGATTGAAATAGCTGTTGATGATGATGAAGATCTCGTGTCGAGTGTCTCGTTCGAGAAAACTCTGCACTGTAGGAGGCTCCTACACGTTATGTAAACAAACAAATTACTTTTGTTATTGAGAACATTTCAGACTTTTGCCTTTCTGTATAATTTAATGCACAATTTCAAAATAAAATTATAATCATTGGCAAACTAATAATAAAACCAATTATATGTTGAAAACTAATAATAAAATAAAGTTCTCATGTTCCTTTTTTATTTCCAGCTTCTCGCAAATTTTGTCAAGGATATTTACCGTCATGCACTACCATTATTAATTGTGACATTACAATAGTATAATAATTTTCATTAATTACTGTGATATCAGCTTGATAAGGTAAAGTTCATCAGGCATAATTATACAGTTACCTTGGCGGCTATATTTGCGAGGAAAAATCTTACTCTTATTAAATTTAGGTATAAATTATTTTTGCTATATAATTAGCTTTTTGCTATATCGAAATTATTATTGCAAGTTTAATAAGATAATATAATCTGAGAAAAATTATCTGAATAAGCTTTTAAGTAAAATATGTTTCTTTATTTTCACATCAACCTTCACCCATCTGTTTACCGAATGAAACATTATTTTATCAAATTTCATACGTAGATAAATACGTCTTGCATGTATTGCCTATCAAAATATGTTTATAGCTATCTTCTTCTTCTTCTTTTGGCATCATAACCCTGGATGGGTCTTTGCCTGTCTGGCTATGTCCTTCCATTCAGATCTCTCTTGTGCCCTTCTTCTCCATTGTCTTATGTTCATTGTTTTCAGGTCGTCTTCCACGTAATTCAACCATCTCGTTCTGGGCCTTCCTTTTTTTCGCCTTCCTATGCGCTTTCATTGTAACATTTTCTTTGTTGTTTTTGCATCGTTTTGTCTCTGCACATGTCCCAGCCATGACAGTCTTTGACTTTTCACAAATCTTACAATGTCATAACCCTCATTTAACTCATTAATCTCGTCGTTTCTCCTGATTCTCCATGTGTCATCTTCCTCTTGTACCGGGCCATATACTTTCCTCAGTATTTTTCTCTCGAATGTCCTGAGTTGGGCTTCATCTTTTTTCGTCATTACCCAAGTTTCACATCCATAGGTTACTACGGGTCTAATCAGTGTTCTGTAGATAGCCATTTTGGTTCTTTTGTCTAATAATTTCGATGTCATCAATCTTTTATTAGCATAGTATGTACGATTCCCGCTGGAAATACGTGCATTAATTTCGCTACTTACAGAGTTCTTCTGATTGATTTCTATGCCGAGATATGTAAAGGCATCCACTCGTTCGATAGTATAGTTGTCTATTGTGATATTATTTCCATTGTCAGTTATTCTTTTGACTGTCATATACTTCGTTTTTTATTTTGAGACCTCTTTTTCTTGCTTCAGGATCAATTTGTTTGAACACTTCCATTAGTCGTGGCTTATTCCTACTAATGATGGCTACATCGTCTGCATATGTAGTAATTTGTACTGATTTGGTGTTTATATGGCCGGTTATATTGGTTTTTCTGATGACTGCCTCAAGAACTAGGTTAAATAGCATGGTTGATAGGGCATCTCCCTGTGTTAGGTACTCCCATGTTGATTTTAAACAGGGGAGTCAGTTCTCCATCTACTCGGACTGCGGCTTTTGAACCCTGCAACGTCATTTTTATGAGGCTGATGTATTTCTTAGGTATACCTAGATTATAAAAGTCTTCCAGCATTCTGTTTCTTTTCACACTATCAAAAGCTTGTTTAAAGTCTATATACATATTATATACGTCTATGTCGTATTCATAAGCTTTTTCTTGTATCGTTCTTAGTATGAATATGTTATCTGTAGTGGCTCTATTTGGTCTGAATCCATTTCATGTTCCATGCTCATAGCTATCCAAAATTTAAAAAAATATTAAATTTTTTTAGCAAGATTCACCCATTTGTTTACCAATCAAATTTTATTGAAACTAAAAGTTTGGAACATATAAAATAGATATATTTGAGGTATTGCCTACGTGTTTATATTCTAGCTACCGGGCAAGCAGATGAAAACAGATAAGCAAATAAAATATAGCTGACCGCACTGATCTGTTTACCAATCAAAATATATATCAACATAAAGATTAGTTAATAAGAAACACAGTATTGTCTGCAATAAACTGTTGATGAAATACTATTGTCAGGCTTTAAAGTTTCCAAATCTAAGTGAGTAAAGTTGCAAATAATTAAAGCAGGGATTGAAGTATATTTGAAATATCAAAGACAAATATACACAGCAGCAATTAGACCAATGATAGATTATGAAGTAGAAGCAATGTGTCTTACAAAAAAAGACAAAAAAAAATAATTAAAAAAAATTATGAGAACACGCAGCTTAATAAAGACAGAACAAGGAGAATATATAGAAAACTGATAAACCATGAAATAATAAATACAACCAAAGAGGAAGTTGGAGTAAAATTTATTATTATAGTACAAATATTCAGACTGTTTAGACATATACAAAAAAGAGGAGAAAACAAACTAATTATCAGTAGTAATATCCCTAGGACATTGATAACAGACGAGATAATTTCATGACAATCGAAAGCTCGTTCCTTGGTAACAGCACGAAGCCGAAGGCTGAGGGCTTTACAGATTCTGGATGATCTCAATAACCTCCATCCTAAC